TTCAAGTTAAATAAGCAATGTCTTAATCAAACTTATCTCAATTGTAAAGCATGTATAAAGGAAATATTTAGAATAAAGCCAACATATAAACTTCCTTTCCGTATAGATGTATTTACGTCAAATTCTCCGGAACCATGGTTCCACTGAAATTTTTTTCTAAGTACTGTAAATACGAAATTAAGTGAAGATCTATCAACTAATGTCATAGTTTTCTATCAAAAAATATATACATCTTATTTTCTTGTTGTGTTGACTGAAATTTACAAAGTACACGTTGTTTTGTTTTGACATGACCGTGTTTTAAAGAAAACTATACATTTTTATGTTTGATCCACAAGCCGCAAGCAGCCTGTGGGAAGTGCGTTCCAAGCCTCTGCCTTACTGGGTAGGATATCCTACCTGTCCTCTTCAGTATTGTAAGGATTAAAGTTGAAATTTTGTCAAATTTAATCCACTGACATCAGAATCAGTTTATGGAGGAATGTGTAAACAACCTTTTATCTTTGTAGGTACTGTAAGAACAAAATTTAACGAAGATCTTTCTACAAATAACAGAGTACTGTGACGTGTGCGTAAATATTATTTTCTCTTTGTTCCAGATTGTTATTGAAGGCCCGAAAAGTTTATACAATTCAGTGGTTGAGACCATAGATTTCTGTCTTCGAAGAATGCCCTGGAGATCCAAGAAGGGAGATGTACCGGATGAGACGGCTGTAAGTGACGAACCCTTACTGGCTGTACCGTTTAAACTATCTTAATTTTTTGGGGTTGTAGCGACTAAATACCACATTTTGTTGATGTTAATTCACAGGCAACAGCGTCAGATGAATGTAAATTACCTTATAACTTTGAAAGTACTGTATATATGAAAATTAAACGAAGATCTGTCTATTAAATTTATTTTTTTCTTTTACTAGACTCCTGTCATGAATACTAAGACTGTGTCTCCAGATGAGCAAGGAGGGAGACCGGAAGAATTGGATCTGTCTCCAGAGGTGATGGTAAATGTGTAGTCCTTACTGCAACCGTCCTTCCACACTCTCGTCTCGATGTTTGTTTAGGTCACGGGTCAAACCCGGTGAGTATATATGAAAATTAAACGAAGATCTGTCTATTAAATTTATTTTTTTCTTTTACTAGACTCCTGTCATGAATACTAAGACTGTGTCTCCAGATGAGCAAGGAGGGAGACCGGAAGAATTGGATCTGTCTCCAGAGGTGATGGTAAATGTGTAGTCCTTACTGCAACCGTCCTTCCACACTCTCGTCTCGATGTTTGTTTAGGTCACGGGTCAAACCCGGTGACGTGCCAGGGGCTCGTACAGTTGCAGCCTCGAATCATTTTAATAAAAGTTTAAATTTGATAATGGGCTGAGATTTAGGTCGGTGAGCATGGAACTCCGATTCCCAGGGAATATACGGGGGAAGGCAGTGGTGCGGTTGATGTTCTATGTAGGATGAGCAATCTCCGAGTAACAAAAGACACCACTGGAGATGTTCACTTTATTGTCTTTTGAGACTCTCTGAAGACCAGTTGCAATTAATACTAAGCAGCGCGTTGAATCGGCTGTTGTACGAAGAATCTGAAGTAAGTGGAGCACGTTCTGCACGACCTGGAGATCAAAAACTTGAGCGGCTAAGAGAGAGCCCATAAGGTGTATTCAAATTCAATTGGTCCGTCACAGTAAGGTGATGGTTGTAATGCAGTGGTCACCCAACATCTGAAAGGGTTCATTCTATGTCTGGGATGACTCAAGTGCACTCTGTTTACGTCTCGCTCCCTCCAGATGGAATATCGAGGAGGGAGACACATTCTTTCAATGTAATACATTTAACAAGTCCAAAATTAATAACTGAGTCAAATTTAGATGAAGTAAGGCATCTAATTACACCTTCTTCGTTTATATAAACCAGATCTACAGTTCAAAGTCTGGTTTGCCTTTCATCTCGAGGTTCGGCCCGTTCGGGAATCGAACTATGAACTTGGACTGGCACATTACCATGTAGAACATCTACACTGTTATGAGCTTTGGGATTGTAGGGTCTAAATACCAAATTTCATGAACGCTAAATCCATTTGACAACAAAATGAGATGCATAGTGCATCGTGTAATTTGCATTCCACAGCATATTGTGAATTCTAAATAAAATGGACGTCATTCCACCAGTAACAGAGTTCTGCGAGAGGTGAGCGTAAATTTTATTTTCTCCTGGTTGTAGGTCGAGTACCAACAGAAACAGCTCAAGGGTATGGAACATTTAGTTGAAGCCTTGGGGACGGCAGTACGAGAGGAAATTTTAGCAAATGAGCACTCGGTAAGTTTTGGGGCCCTTACTTTCTAGGACACCCTTGCTGTTATGAAAAATGGTTTATAACCTGTAACATATTAAGGTAAGATCACACCCTATGTCGTTTTCAACAAGATTGTCATATGCAAAGGAACGGGGAATTCTCAAGTGGTAATTTAGGAATTTGTCGCTGTGTGTAACGTGTAATTTTAACACAAAAGGAATAAACTTTTTATGAATTACGCTGCTCTTTTAGTAGTGAAAATTGTCAGGTGAATGCACATTTATTGTTGTATTTATTATTGAGACAGTTCGTCTAGCAGAAGCTGTGAGGTATTCAAATTATCCTTTTCCATTGTTAATGCATTCTTCTTATTTCCCACTGCCGCTACAACACAGCGGCCAAGTATAAAGAAATGGTCAATTCTGTCTACTAATTTTTTTCAAGGTCGCATGGCGATAAAGTGAAACAGCCGTGGCTGTTGACTGCCTCAAACTTGTGTTTGTTAAAATTTCCATAGAAACATAAATCATAAAGTGCAGCTCATGGACCTGATTTTGTCAGGGTGGTCTTAAATATAGGGTGAAGAATGCTGTTAGGGTTCGAGTCATTTATATATTTTTGTGCATGTTTCTTTGTCTCGTATGAATTTACTTACTTATTCGCTGAGATAATTCTGGAAATATGTTTTGGTTCTGCGACGACATACTCCTTCATCCAGAGAAGGATGTAGTGTCCGGGACCAAGGTCTGTAACCCTCGAGGAATGCGGAAACTGTGATGAGGATGGTAGCGAACGGAAGGAAATATTCCGAATCAAGGGATTGACCAAGTTTTTTGCATTTTTCACTAAGTCTTCATGTTAATTTTCTTCAGTTTTTTTTCCATATTACGAACCTGGTTTAGAAGTGCTTGTGCTTTGTGTATAGTATAACACTAAGATGTGAGAGCTATTTAGTCCTGGCCTCATGTAGTGGGAGTTTGACCCCATACTATTCTTATTTAAACATTCTCTGTTAAACTCAAACCTGTTCTTTTTTTTTTCTATTTCTCTCCGATCCGTATTCGGTCCTTGGCCTCCTCAATTATCCTCTTCCATTCGGTCCTCTGTTAAGTCTGTCCGTCCGAAGCTTTGATCGAGGTTTTGAAACGTCTTCCTTTTTATGGTGCAAGGTTGTTAGCCTGGAGGACCAGGGTACCTGTCTTAGTCTGACCTCTCCCCCTCGACCAATCTGGCTAGGGAGGCCCTACCAATAGCTCTTGGGGTCACTGAGGTACTCAAGCCCCACCACCACGACAAGGTGCAGGTACCATTAAGTGGGGCAAACCTGTTCTTATCAGCTTAATTTCTTATACATTTCCATCACAGAACCAGGAACTTAGACTGTTTTAAATCATATTAAATTTTATTAGGTTTTTTTTTTAATCCCAGAACAGAAATAAGAATTTATTCTGTGATAAATATACAGGTTGTCTTTTTTTTTTTTGTTCTACAAATGTTAATGAGTTTCACCCCTTCTCGTCGGAGGCCTGCATTCCTTTAGGGGCGGCTGCAACAAATTTTCCTGAGACAAATTTGATTTCACTATTGCTATTTGCGTATGTCAAGTTCTGGCAAGAACTTGGTCGTTATTTGATCAGTACGTTTCCTAAAATTATTCCGCCCATAACAGTTCTGGGTTATGTTTAAAATATTTCTCTGTTCTAGGATTGTATGCTGGACCACTATAAGCAATTAACGGGTCTACAGGAAGAAATTATCACTAGTATGAAAGAACTAAAATTATACATAGAATCAGAATAAGAATCACAGATTAAAAACAGGTGAGAAATACACAGAAGTGGAGTTCAGACAAACAGGGAAATAGTTTCTCAGATTAGAATACAGAAATAATTTAAGTATTTGCTAATGGGTGGAGCAGTATCATTCAACCACTGCCCCATATTCACTCATGTATCGTTTTCGAGATGAATAAATTGCCCACAGCGATAGTCATGAAAGAGGGCACCGGATTTGAGATCGCAAAGAAGGAAAAATGTGCAGTTCCACCGAACTAACCAACCTGGGCCAACAAAATCCAGTCTCCTTCAGCTCCGATCTCCCATAGATCCCGCCTGACATTATCCTCCCATCTACGTCTAGGTCTCCCCAGCGGTCAGTTTGATGAAGGTGTTAAGTAACGGCTGAAACGAGACTCCATTTGATAGGACTGTTACGGTATTGCATACACTTGGTGAAATAGTTCTGCGAACGACGACGCTGGATTAAATTTAAAATTTGTTACTGTTCTAGGTGAATTTCCCTATGCAGACATTAACGGAGGTCGAGGAAGAAGTGGATTCGTCTTGATTTTAGATCTTGCTGTCGCAGTAAGGATCCTGTCTGGGTTATTATGCTATGTAGCGTGGCAGGAGCTTACCAACATCTTAGAGGTCCTCGCTTTCTCCGTCGTCAGGCCGACTGGCAGCGCTTCTCAAATCATCGCTACCTCGGCTCTAGAGATACAGACGATGTCTCCGCAAGTATTCAGCTTAGGCATGTGAACGTGAACGTGAGGCCAGCAGTCAAGCTAGTCGGCTTTGGCTCTCTGGAGCTGTTATGCCACAGATTTAATTTTTTTTTTAACAAACACAAAGTAATGCTTCAATGGTTAACAATTTTATTGAATGCGTACATGTATAAGTTTAGTTAATCCGTTTGTGTAATATTATCCATTATTATTTCACTATTATTGTATATATTATCAGTGTTTGCCTGTTATTGGCTTCTTGCTGTTGGCAAACACGTAAATAAATTAATTGAATTGAATTACTTTGTGTTTGTTAAAAAAAAATTAAATCCGTGGCATAACAGCTCCAGAGAGCCAAAGCCGACTAGCTTGACTGCTGGCCTCACGTTCACATGCCTAAGCAGAGGTGAACGATCATCCGACCAGATATAGGATGACGTATGGTCAGCACGACGAACCCCCAGCCATTGCTGGTTTTCATGACCGGATTACGCTACCCATCATAGCTCCCCAATTTCCTCACGATGCTGAGTTGGCACCGGTCGAAAATCTCATGAGAAATTTCTTTTCCCGAGACTCGAACCAGCGCGCATTCCGTATCACCGGTCCGAAGCATGATGCCTCAGACCTTGTGGCTATGGCGCTGGACACTTTGTGTTTGTTACTCCCCATATATTTCCTTAAATGTGTATAAGAAATTAATCCAAATTCATTGACAATTGACGTTATTTTGGTGTATTTTATTTAAAACCAAATTCCAGACCTTATTTCATTTTCCTTTACAGGTGCTTTTGACATTTTAATCTATAGAAAGGGTCAAAATGGTTCCCCTTTTTAATTTTTTTTAGAGATAGGCATTTGATGTTCACGTGATTATTTTGTTTTTTTATGGAACTACGTTTTTAATACATGTTTTAATGAATTTTTTAAAAGTATACATAAAATAGTGCCTGAATAAGCTACATGGACATGATTAGTAATACATTTGTTTGACTACCGGAGTTGGCTAATATTTTTTTTCAATCAACATGTCTTACGAGCTGCGTTGCAGAAACTGATTCTATTATTTTTGTCTACTATATTTCACAGTTGTGTAAGTGGGCAAAGACTGATCCTTTTCTAGAATTACGAAGGGGTCTGAAAAGTAAGGTAACAGTTTTTTTCTGAGAAGCCAGATTGGTCCAGGGGGAGAGGTCAGACTGAGACAGGTACCCTGGTCCTCCAGGCTGGGGGTTGATCACAAGTGTAACAACCTTGCGCTGTAAAAAGGAAGATGTTTCGAAACCTCGACCAAAGCCTCGAACAGACGAATCTAACAGGACCGAATGGAAGAGGAGAATTGAGGAGGCCATGGACTGAATATGGACCGGAGAGCCATAGAAGAAGAAGAAGAAGATATTTCCAAAAGTTAGCCAGATCACAATAAGATGTGGAATAATTTATATTAATACATGTATGCAATTACAATTTGTACAGTTTTAATACTTTCACATTATAAAAGCAAATGGTTCACTTTATGTGATATGTCGCAATAAATACACCCATTACAGGTAAGAATAGATAAACTGTTCTGCCCCTTTTATACCATAATGAGTGTTTGAGACTTGCAGGATTTGAGGTTCTCAGAGTGGTGAGAATAAAGATGGCTTTACTCTGGGTTATAGCACTGAAATCTGGTAGAATTTTACATATTTATCCGATCTCTTTTTGCTGCTGCCTTGATCAGGGGGGTGAGTCATTGCCCTGATGATTATTTTTGTAACATTATGACGTATTTGTGTTCATTAGCAGAGTAAAAGGAGAGTGTTTAACATTTCTGAACCCACCAGCATCCTACTTTATTTTTATTCCGAACATGAATGTAGGATGATAGGTGGTTTTAGTTTACGTCAATGCCATGTGCTTAGTTGATTCTGAAGACGGTTGGCAAGGAGGTTTTATGCCTAAGTTTTGGCTATACTGTGTTGCCTTGTTGTTAGTACTAAAGCGTGGAGTTTCCTTTTCAACCTTTACAAGGTAAGACTGTTATACGCATTTATTATTTTGTATCTGAAGTGAAGTATAATAGTGACATTTTAATCTTAGAATGTCAGAAAAAAATTAACTCGAAATATAATTTTACCAGAGGGTCGAAAACTGTAGTGGTTACATATTTCATCATTGAACATTAGCTTAGTATAGTGACTAATTACGGACTGGATGACCGGGGTTCGATCTCCGACGGGGGCGTTGGACTTTCCCTGTAGCCTCTTCGTGCAAACCGACTGGGGCCCACCCAGGCTCCTGTCCAATGGGTACCGGGGTCCATTTCAGGGGGTAAAGCACGGCCGGGGTGTGACTCTGATAGCTGACAACTGTCTAATTCAAAGGTTAAGAATGAATAAGAGATACTTCTTCTCTTCCCAAGTGCCTACATGGCGTGCAACTTTACTTCTTTTATCACTGAACATTTTCAATGGTCCATTCACTGAAAATACATAACCTCAAAATTTGTGTTCTGTCATATTCATGAAAGAAGTTTGTGAACAATCTCATTAGCCCTGTTTGAAGCATGTGTGATTTTATTTTTTTGTTATATTTATTTACATAAATCGAAATAGATATTATTTACCTACTTCACAAAATAAAACCCGCAGGAAAAGCAATGACAAATGCTGTGTTACTGCTCTTACTGGATGGAGACATTTGAGTACTAGATCCAGAGATAATTGAGGTACAGGAAGAGGAGGAAATGGAAGTGGATGATGTGCCCTTCACCTTATGTTTGCAAGCTTGTGGTGGTGCAGCAGTTCCAGACAAGCTCTGTGAAGGACGTTGAAGAAGTGTACACTATTTTCAATATGAGTTTTCCGATCTTCCTGAAGATTAAATTATATCATTTCAGAAATATATAAAAACGAAGTGACTGAAAACATTTTTGAAGAATCAAGTTTTACCGTGTTCTGAAATATGGCAGCTCTTTGAACACAAGTTGTATGGGATAGATCAATGTACGTATAGGCATGGTTGGTATCGTAAACGTACCTAGCTACAGGATGTATTGGACTTATGCAAACAGGTTTTCCCCAGTTGCAGATGTTACGTCAAGACACAGATTTGACAAGGCGAGGATTTTATTTTCATATCAACAACAACAACATGAAGGCCTGTGCTTATCTGGACTATGACAAGTTGTTCAAAGTCAAAACATCTGTGGACACCTTCAAGGCCAGTTTCTTAGAAACGGAAATTGAACCGAAGTGGCGTGACAATAAGTCTGTTTCATCGTACAGAGGGAGGAATGCGGTAGAAGCTGTGAAATGGTTATCAGAAGCACAAAAGAAACACACAGAAGTCCCAAGACGAGTCATAAAAATACAATTGCTTTATGGAAGGTGTTGACTTTCATGATATGCTGGTTGCCCTGTACAGACGTAACACAGGGGTGAGGCGATATTACTTATGCACTGTGTTTCATCAGCTGAAAGTGTGTGACTTCTATACAGCTGTCATTGAACCCAACAAGGGATTAAAAAATGCAGATCATTTCTTGTTTTCTCATCAGAAGTAGTTCATGCTCTGCTGAGAGCAGGGCGTAACAGCAATAAGGAAAAGATATGTCAGCGTATGATAGCCTATCATCATCTAAAGTTGGACCGAGAGGATAGAAATTGTGCCTATGCCAGCGAACGATTTGATGTGTGGCCGTGTCTGTGATAGAAACAGAGGTGTATGTTGAATGTCAGTGCTTTATTTTATTTAGTGTTCTGTCTGACGACAGGTCCATATGAAGAGGATCCTTCCATCCTTTTCTCGGACTGGGACCTGTTCATATGTTTTTTAGGCAGGTGATCCAGAAGTGGTTTGCCATTGCCTTCTTCTGTGTGTGAATTGAGTAATTGTTGGGATGCCACGGAGAAACCGGGGAAGCAGCAAGTGTGACAAAGCTCTTTGTCTATACAAAGACAAAAATTGTTTCACTACTTATCGTGTAAAATCAAATAAGCCAGATTATATTTGTGCTCGTGTTTATATTAATGCCATATGGAAACATGTTAGATTTTTCACAGAAATGCTAAGGAAATTAAGTTGTGTTGAATCTATATTCAGGAAACTTATTTCAGCAAATGTTTTTTTAAAAAGTAATTATTTACCGTTGAAACTAAGTTGGGCTAGAAAGGGTTAAGTAACTTTCTAATGGAATTTTAAACTATGTCCTTTTATTTATGACTTCTGATACTAGATGGCATCTAGTATCTAATAATTTTATTATTAGATACTAGATGGCAGACTTGTGAAACTTTTGATTTCATATGTTCTATAAAGCCAATTCTTCTTATTCTGCGTGTTGACACTGTATGCAAGAGAATTAGTTTTGAAAGTGTTTGTGGTTATTTACATTGAGAATATGTATTGACATGGAAAAGATCTCTAATCTTTTGAACAGACTTGTCCATGAATTTCTGAGTTAGCACCAGCCATTAATCTGACAGTTTTATTTTGTAAAATGAATATAATTTCACTGTTAGACGAATTACCCCCCAAATTGTTCAATACTTATTGTTGAAGGAAGGTTATTTATTTATATTACGAAAAACAAGGGCCATAAAATTGACCCAGGTTGAGAAAAAAAAATTCTGATTTTCTTGGTCAGACTTTACTTGAACCTTGCGTTTTCTGTGTTAGACAGGACCCGAATCACTTTGCAGTATCCCATGAATGCCTTAAAAATGTAATTTAGTTGACTAAATTTCGTGATTTACGCAGTCAATAACTTGTGCTAAATTACAGAATATTCCTTCAGCTTGCAATTTTTGTAGATTTTAGTGCATTATCTGTTAGTTTGAAGGCTGAATCTCTGTTGGATACTCTCATTTTCTGCGCCAAATCGTTCTGGGACTAATATGTTGCTGTATAGTATGCACGAGATGACATAACCTTCCTCGTAAGTACAACTGAAAAAGTTATTAGTGAAACTGGCGTGTAGTTTGTCACACTGACATTTTAACTCTTGACACGAGATGGCAGTCGTGTTCATCTTAGATGATTGGCGTACTGAGGAGTTTCATAAAAACATTTGTTGACGCATGAAGATTACGTGTGGCGTCGTAATTGTTACGCTATGCCAACATTTGATAACTTGTCTATAATTAGGCGTATTTTACGGGATTTGAAACTTGATTCGTTATGTTTTGACTTGTTACGATTACCGATACGACTGGTATATCAGGTCTCAAGGTTTCCATAACAACAGTAGTCGTCGGATAGGCCATCGTATGAGGGGTCTCGAGTATTCAAGGACAAAAATGTACGAAGGCTGACTCAGGTAACGTGCTCCGTAGCGCTTGCGCAGTGGTATTGCATAGATTCTCACAGCGGTGAGTGCGAAGATGGCTGTCTTCTGGGTTGTAGCGCCATCATCAGGACGATGAGTCATCGCCCTGATGATGGAGGCAAAAAGGACCTCAGAAACGTTAGTAAACTTCTATCATATCTACTGTATGGAGCTGTAGTGCAGAAAACAGACATCTAGGGGAAATATTTTGTAAAACAACTGTATGCAAGGTGAAGGAAATAATATTAAAATTTATGATAAGGTACAGATAAGTTCGTGTTCTAAGTGTGTAGATTTTATTTAATTCTCTTTTGAGACATAAGGTAATGTAAAAAGCTCGGAATGCGTTTTCTGTACCGGGATTCACATATTATCATACGCGCTTTGCAACGTGCTTTTAGAAGCATTACATTCGCATTGTCCGGCGAAATAAATAAACAAATGTCGAAGTTCTGCATTTTTAGAATGTATAAAAACCAACAATTTTAAAATTCTAAGTTTTTTTTCGAAATTTCAAAATTCAGAATTAAAAACTTCGTTATTTTCAAATTCGAAATTTCAAAACTTAAAATTCATATTTAAATATTATCCCAACTGCCACCAGATTGTAGCACCTCAGTGTCAATCTCACGACTCTACTCATCCATCATTTTGCCATCTCCGCTCGTAGGATATTCAAAGTACGATTTTTAAGGTCGTGCAGAATGGCACAACATCCACACCAAATTTCATCCCAATCCGTCCAGTAATTCTCGAGGCGAATCGACTGGACAGATGGACGGACGGAGAGACAGACATAACATGCCCGTAATGCGTTCTCGCTATGCACTTCATGCAAAGAACGCATAGTAATTGATGAGTTGTTAGGAAAACGAGAGATAACGAACCTTCAACATCAGCTAATGTTTCTTCAGGACCGAAATGTGCAAAATAGAAGTTCAGGTCAATGATGTCGAAATCCGCGGGATGTAATTTGTGGCAATGTACTGACAAACATTAACCTCAAATCTTGTCTACTTTTCCGCCATTTTGAAACTGGGCACACCACTCAAATGATTAACAAAACTATCGACTTTTACAATCGCAAACTGGTCGAATCGAAAAGTTATTGAAATGTGCGATTATTACGAACTGAAATCGAGATTTAGAAGACGGCAACTTATCAAATTTCTGCTGAGCGCATGGAAATACTTCTGTAATGTTGTTAAAATTTTCAACTACAGAGTAATCAAAAAGTTAATCATTCTATTCCTGGCACGGAGATGGGGGTAATGTATCTTTAAACTCTTTATGGCAATTTAATTAAGAACGAGATACTACGTAGTGTTCGACAGTGAACACTCGTTGGCACTTGTGAAAAAGACATCCTCGCACTTTGACTGTTGAAAGACAAATGACGGACTGGGAGCGAGCAGGTTACATCACGTGACTTGACCTGCGTGAGTTCTTGTGTAGTCACAGCGAAGTTATGGTTATTATTCTGCAAATCTAATTGAATTGTATTGCAACCATCAATAAATATTTTAATGTGAGGGGTTGCGTGATTTTCGTCTTGCGCAGATCTGAAAACTAAGCACGAAACAGACTCAAATCAGAACCGGATTTGAGACTTTGCCTTTCTCCGATGGTATCGGACTGTCAACCACTGTGCTAACCAAAACAAGTGCGTCCTTCTGATCGAAGTCCTCATTCAAGGCTCTTA